GCCCGTACCTGAAGCCCGCTTTCTGGGCTACGAAACCAGTTTGAATCCGACCCGAAAACGACGGTTTCGGGTAAGAAAATCTCGGGTCATTCCGCGTCTATAAATACACTCAGGTCGGGCACTTTTGACACATGTGACGAAGAAGGAAAAAACCCTTAAAGCGCACCATCTGCTCAGTAAGAGGCTGGGATCTTGGCTGCAAAAGGCACTGATCGTGTTGAGGTCCATCAAGAGATTGATGCTCATGCGATGGGAAGCTATAATCTTTTGAGCAAGTGTGCAGAGTTAACGAAATCGGCGTTTTCTACCCGCCGGAGAACCTGATATTGCTCGCTGCGTTGTTAATTACTCCAACCTACGACGTATCTGGATGTTGTGCAGATATGTTCATTTCTAAAATGATTTTATGAAATTCCTTATTTGAAATTTTAGAATTGAATTTTTTTTTTTTTTTGTTCTTTCTACCAATTAAATCAGACTATGGATGATGTGCAGGAAAGCGATGCAAAGTGGGCAAGTCAAGAGGCTAAAAAATTGAAACATTATTTTGAAGTGGTTTTGTTAAAGTTAGAATCCACGTTGGCTTAATTTAGAAACTGATCAAAGCATGCAGACTTTTATTCTATGCCTTGCGGGGAGGAAGATGAACCCAGCTCTTGTTTTGTCTCATAACTGCACTTCGCTTTTATTCTTTTTCTTTTTTCCCCTTTTTAATTCCAGGTCTGATGTGTTTCTCTCGAGGACACCCTTCCGTTACGCCTTTTTAAAGCCTGCAGTGGTAGTGTTGGGTTTTTTCTATTTCCTTTTTTTGAAACTTTTCCTTTTTTTTTTTTCCTGAACTTTCCACCTTTTTAGGTCCTTCCACGTTTTCTTAGCTGTTACTAATTCTACGCGTTTTTAAAGAGAGTAGGTAAGCTTCCTTTATTTTTATTCCAATACGCGTTTTCCCTCCCCCCCATGCCCCGTGTTACGCGTTTTCGTGCTTTTTGACCATTAAGTGATGGCTTCTTCGCTGCCAATGCTGACAAAAGACTCGTACTGGCTTCACGTGAAGCTGCCGGGAAACGGCCCTACTTACTGCTTCTTTGGCTTCTTGGCCGCTAATGTTGACAAAAGACTCGTACTAGCGTCACATGATGTAATTATTTGGTTACAACTCAAAAATTTATAGATTTGTGAGTAAGAGATTTGTTTTTTATTTTATTAATTAAATTTTAATTTTTTTAAAAATTTAATAAAAGTAATTTTTTTTTTAAAATTTTTTATAATAAAATAATATTGCAATTCTTAGAAGCTCTATATATAATGTACATAATTATTAAAGTTTGAGTCTAAATTTGATTAAA